AATGAAACAAGGTATATGATGTGTTGAATGTGAAACTGACGATATGCCCTGTAAACTTTCACTTAATCCATAATAAACACTTAAAAAAAAAAAAATCAAAACAACACAATATTCTAAACACATTCAAGGGAAGTGGTGAATATCCATTATTCTAAACTAGCTTTTTATCACCGTATTAAGTTAAAATTCCTAGAAAATTCTGTGTTCAACAGAAAATTTTCACAGTACTACATTTAATGTTAGCCTTAAACCATTAATCAGTGATCTTTTAAAAATCCACATGAAAATAATTTTTATATATTTTACAAAAAGGACTACATATTACTTTATTATGTCATATATTACTAACATAGAGTTGCACGTAAATGTATTTTAGATGTTACTCCAGGAAAGTTTCTTTTTGTAAGACAATGAGAAATATATACTGTTTGTTTGCATTTTGGGTTTTGTCTTATCTGCTAGGAAGCTCAGAACTAAACTACAAAACCACACTTAGCCTAGGTTTCTGGCCTATCTTCCAATATTTTATGTGTGGCTATTGATCTTTTATTATATATAGTATAAAATTCTACTTTACACATATTTTTATCAAGCTCCTTCATAAGTAGGCATAAGGCTACTGTCAGAATCAAAAGTCATAATTCTGAATAGCAACAAACCACACAGTACTTAAATGACAACAAATGCAACAAATTCATTCAACTTAATTTTCAAATTAGAAGGTTTGGAGTAATGGGGAAGGCCAAAAACAACAGTATCAATTCCGGTGAAGAAAATGCATTAAAATATACAGGTCTTACATTAAAAAAAAAAAAAAAAAAATTAAGCTCACTTATTTTTACTTACCCAGGCTTTTCAAATTTAATAGAGCATTTTTATTATAACAAAAATTTTTACATACCTTATGTAAGCAAGTGTCCACTACCCAATTGCACACATTTTCCAGGTCATCAGATACCTCAAGCCTAGATTTAACAAATTCACAGAGCTCCTCATTACTCATAACATCCCAGATCCCATCACAAGCCAAGATGATAAATTCATCCTCTTCTGCTCTTAAAACTTCATAAACCTCAGGCTCTGGAGAAACAAGTTGTTCTGTTGGGCCCTTGCCATCAACACACTTGTAATCATAGTCCCCCAAAGCACGAGACACTGCTAAAGAACCATTAACACGTTGTATCATTACACTGCCTCCTGCATTTTGGATTCGCTCCTTCTCCCTTGGGTTGCAAGGTTTGTGATCCTGGGTAGAAAAGCAGACTTGTCCATTCCTATATAGCACAGCACGTGAATCACCACAGTTGATAAAGTAAATATGCTTAGGAGAGATCATAACTCCCACTGCAGTTGAACCACTCCTGTCCATCCCATTTCTGAGGTCTGAAAAGTTACGCATATATTCATCAATTTTCAAAAAGCCAGTTCTGATACCATTCTTGACATTTTCCACTGAAGGCTCAAAAGCAGATCCTGATTTTCCAGCTGCCCTGAAGTCTTCATTATTAGTGATGTGTTCTAATAAATGTGTTGAGCAGTAATTTGCCACTCGAGATCCAGCATGACCATCATAAACTGCAAAAAATGACCAGTCTTCCAAGCCGTGAGGAATTCCTACAACAGCTGTGTGTGCATCTTCCATTTCCACTCTCCATCCTTGCATGCTGCTCAGGCCATAACGTAACCCATTCCCAGCACCGTGAGCATTATGTTTCTCAGTTTTGGGCTTATCCAAAAATGCACCCATGTTTAGTAATGAATCTGAAAAAGGGGAAAAAAAAAAGCGTCAAGTATTCCAATTTGATACAGTAAGTATCTATAGTATTCTACCTATTCTCAGTTTATCTTTCCTTGTAGGAACAGAGAATTCCCAAGGCCATCAAGAAGGAAAAACATGAGTGAAGCATGAAATCCTGCTCTAGAAAGGCAGCGACAGCAGCAGAGGCAGAGGTAGAGGCGATGGCATGGAGATAGAGCAGACTCTAGGCCTACGGACTGAGAAAGGCTATGTGCCTACAGGCAGGAGGCTGGCGTACAAATTGAGTCCTTTGGACACTTAAATGAATATTTTTTTGTTTTGTATGTATACATCAAATATTTTTGCTGTGCTGATTTGTGAAATATAAGATGTAATAAGGAAGTAGGATAACTAGTTGCAAGGGAGAGGCTGTAGGTTATAATCATTTAAAAATGAAACGAAACCTATGACTGGCTGACAGTAAAGCTAATGATCTTATCTGTTAATATACATACATATAACAATATATATAGTTGTTGCTGTTAAGTGCTGTTGAGTCAGTTCTGACTCACAGCGACCTTGTATATGGTTTTCCAAGGAGGCAGGTGGTGAGTCGGAACCACTGACCTTGTAGTTCAAACTGACTTTAGAGTCCAATGCTTTATCTCAAAGTGCCACACCAGAACCGACTGTGTATATATGTCTAAAAAGTCTAGAAAGAATGTTGTCATCCTTCATTTTCATATAACAGCTTTTATTATTAAAACACAACTTAGCAAAGAATGGGGTAAGGTATGTTACAAACACCCATATTTCAACTAGTCTTAAAGCAAATCTTTCAGACTGTGCACACTAGTTTCTTCAAATCATCAAAGCTTACTGCCATGTTCCAAAAGCACTTGCTAACAAAGGGACAGACTTTAATTTGTCATATATTCTAGGTATTACTCAGTTATTTTGATCAAAGTAAGGAAAACAAGAATTTTCTCAATAGCATAGCTTTTTTTCTTTTTACTATTAAGTGAGAAGCCTCAAAGGACTTTATCTAAACATTCATAATGAAATTCTGTAAAATAATAGACTGAAGCTTGTAAGGATTTATCAAATATCTCTTGAAAAAACTCCTAAAGCAACATTTCAAATAGTCTAACAATCTCAAATTTTTCTGAGGTCAAGTTAGAATTGATTATATTGTTTTTATGCCACAATAAAAACTCATAGTAGGTTAAACTTACTAATTCTAACATTTTTGTTGTATGCTTTATTATACATTCAATCTGAATTTTATAGGATTTTTTATAGTCACTTGCACATTTTTTGAAGATAGTTACAACTCAATCATCTGAAAATCAAAGTTGTTGTTGTTATGTACCGTGGAGTCGGTTCTGACTCACAGCGACCCTGTACAAGTTTCTGAGGCTGTAAATCACATGGAAATTACAATGTGATGTATCAATTTAATGGAATCCTGGTATGGCATTGTACAATAAGCACGGAACTGCTAACTCCAAGTTCAGTGGTTCAAACAAACCAGCCGCTCCTTAGAAACCCTACACAGGGTCACTATGAGTTAGAACTAACAACAACATACTAATTAATACAAATGAGGAAATGACGATCATTTGACATACAACAGTATAGAGAAGACAAAGTGAACCATTAAATGTAGCTTAATCATCTTTCTCAACATAAAAGATAACAGAAGTTATGAGGGGTTTTACTTTGTTTTGCTTTTTAAAGATGAACACCAGTAGATCTTTCTGCATGCCCACTTTAGAGATTACTGGTCTATACAAACTCTGTGGGTCTCAAGAGTTTTTGCAAAACTGAGAAATACATACAGGAAACATTGTCTGAATACTGAATAAACGAAGTGCTTTATAAAGGGATAAACACACCAGCTGCTCCTCGGAAACCCTATACAGGGTCACTATGGGTCAGAACTGACTCAATGGCACTTAACAACAACACACTACTGTACACACAGAGGCATAATACTATATTGTTTACTTTCTATGTTTTTGTTGTTAAATGCCGCCAAGTCAGTTCTGACTCATAGCAACCGGGTACAGAGTTTCCAAGGAGCGATTGATTGGTCTGAACTACTGGTCTAGAAGTTAGAGTCCAGTGCTTATACTATATCGCCACACTAGGACTCCATTTACTTCCTATAGATGCAATTTACTTTTTTTGTTTTTGCTGATAAACAAAGCAAAACGCAATTTCTAAATATTCCATTTCTAAATATACAATTCAGTGAAACTAATTATTCAAGATGTACAATCACTGTCATCCTCCTTTTCTGATATTATTTATGTTTAACCAACATTATATTATAAAAAAATCTAAGAAATTACACCTAAAAAGCAGTTTTATGCCTGAAAGTGGGAGAAAGACACGGCACTCTGCTTCTGTAAAGACTGTTGTTGCTGTTGAGTAGGTTCTGACTTGTATCGACCCAGTATAGGGTTTCCAAGGAATGCTGGTAGGTGTGAATGCTGACCTTGTGATTAGCAGTCCAGTGCTTATCCTACAGTGCCACACAAGGACTCTGTAAGTATTACAGGGTTTCAACCCAGATGCTATGAGTCAGAATCAACGCCAAGGAAAACAGGCTTAGTTTTGGTGTTCTATACCTGAAAAGTTTGAGGACCGTATTTTATGTAAGCAGTTTACTTATATCATCTTTTAAGTTATTACTTTAAGTCGATTCCAACTCATGGTAACCCTATGTGTTTCAGAATATAACCGTTCCGTAGGATTTTCTATGTAAACTTATGTACCAACCAGGAACGTGCCAGTAACATTATAAAAATAACTTAAAGACATTTGACATAAAAGACACTTAACAAGGGAAACCCCCTCAACAAAAGGGCATAGATAAAAATACCACAGTCAACATTAATCTCAATGGAGAGAGCCTGAGAGCATTCCCTTATGAACAGAACCAGACAAGGATTCCATGTATCACCGCTTCTATTCAACATTTGTGCTGAAAGTCTTGTTTTTGTTGTTGTTAAAGTGCCATCAAGTAAGTTACATCTCAAAGACACCCTGTATAGCTATAAGGCATCCAAAGTGACCCAAGCCATGGTATTTTCAATAACCTCATATGGATACGAAAGCTGGACAGTGAATAAGGAAGATCGTAGAAGAACTGATGCCTTTGAGTTGTGGTGCTGGAGGAGAATACTAAAAGTGCCATGGACTGCCAAAAGAACCAATAGATCTGTTTTCGAAGAAGTGCAGCCAGAGTGCTCTTTGGA